GTCTGGCTATCGGGTACCTCAATCGCCCAGAACAGACCGCACAGCGCTTCCTAAAGCACGTTGTACCCGGAGAGACCGTGTACAGGACGGGAGATCGTGCACGCTTCTTACCTAATGGCCACTTGGAACTCATCGGTCGGTGCGACTTTATGGTGAAGATTCGTGGCTACAGTGTCGTGTTGGGTGCTGTGGAGTCAGCATTAGCGCAACATCCTTTGGTGTCCACGTCGGTGGTGCTCACGGAAGGCGACGAAGGTGAAGACAAGCGGTTGGTTGCCTACATTGTGCCGGAAGACTGGGAAAAGGTGCCAAGTGCGTCAAACCTTCGCGAGTTTCTCAAGGAGAAGCTGCCGCACTATGCGATCCCGTCGGTGTTTGTACAACTCGATGCTTTGCCCATTAACAGTGCAAGTGGCAAGTTGGATCGTAAGAAAATGCCGTCGATCGAAGAAGCCAAGAAGCTGCGTAACGAATCGATCGACTTGTCGGTGGACCCGCAGAACTTGCCGCAGACCGAGACGGAGAAGAAGCTCGCGTGCATCTGGTCGGAGCTGCTACGTCTCGAGAACGACAGCGTCTTGCACCGTGAAGCCAGCTTCTTTGACGTGGGCGGACACAGTTTGCTGTCCACTCGACTGGTCTCCAGTATCCGCGATACTTTCGACGTTCACTTGACTCTAGCAGACATTCTCTCGTCGCCTGAGTTGTGCTCGATAGCGTCTCGAATCGACCAATCGCTTGGTGGTCCAGCTGACAATGATACTAAAACGGTGGCTGAGAAGACGGAGAAGAAGGTGGTGCTCCCGCTTGAAGCTGTCCTGGATGCGTCGATCTACCCTGCTGCCACTCGTAAGGCCGGGTACAGTCGCTACCGTGTGGAGATGGTGAGTCTACCGCCACGCAACTTGTTCCTGACTGGTGCCACCGGATTCCTCGGTGTGCATCTGCTACATGCACTGCTCAAGTACTCGACCAGCGTCGTCTTCTGTCTGGTTCGTGCTGCTGATGAAGACGCAGCTATGGATCGCATAAAGAATGCACTCAAAGAGTTCGCGCTTCTCGAGGAAGCGCAGAAATGCCATCTGGAAGACCGTGTGATCCCCGTCCCGGGCAACCTCGCGCAGCCGCTGCTGGGTCTTGATGCTGACATGTTCAAGATGCTGGCGACTGAGATCGACGCCATCTTGCATAATGGCGCAGACGTCAACCTGGTCAAGCCATACTCTTCTCTGAAGAGCGTCAATGTGCTGGGAACACAGGAAGTATTGCGTCTTGCTGTGACGAACGGACTGGCCAAGACGCGTGTAAAGCCTGTACACTACATCTCAACGAACGGAGTGTTCCCGTCAACACTAAGTGCACCTAGATATCTCGAGACGGCGGACTTGAGTGAGCTGTCCGATCAGCTCGACAATGGCTACGCACAGAGCAAGTGGGTGGCCGAGCAAATGTGCCACGAAGCAGCTCATCGCGGTCTTCCGGTGTCGATTCTGCGTCCGGGCAACATGGCTCCGTCCTCCTTCTCTGGTCAATGGAACACCAGTGACTTCATCTACCTGCTGCTTAAGGGCTGCGCAGGTCTCGGCACTGTGCCAGCTCGCTCTGACTGGTACTTGGACATGACCCCCGTGGACTACGCAGCACGTGCCATCGTGCACTTCGCTGCGTTGCATCCGGTGGAGGCGCTTGGCCAGACGCTTCACATCCAGAACCCGTCGCTTCCAGTCAAGAGTGACGCGTTCTTTGAGTTCTTTACGGCTGCAATGGCGAGCAAGCAACTGACTGCAGTCGAGTATTCACAGTGGAAACGTAGCTTGGATCAAGCTGCGAGTAAGACGGACGCCCCGTTGGAGCTGCAGAAGCTGGCGGCGGGCATCGACTCGTTCGAGGTTTATTTCCAGAGCGACAAGGTGTTCGACGCGACGCTCTCGACTGAGCTATTGCAGTCCGCTGGCATCACGTGCCCGACAGTCAACAAGCCGCTTCTGGTTACGTACACGGGCAAATGGTGAGGATCTGTCCACGAGTTGTTGATACCTTAAATAGTTTCTGTGGCGCCCTCTCATCTTGTTGAAGTGCAAAGCCAACTTTGGTTCTCTTTTTGTTTGCACGAAGCAGTGCTTGTAAACTTTACAGCAGTATTTTACTAAAAAGTTGAGATGATCGACCAAAATGATTGTTTATCGCAAGTAAAATATCTGACGATTTGATTGGCGTACTCCGAAATGAATTGCAGATTTGAATTGCAAGTCGGTCAAACTGACACTTGGCCCACACAGCCAAAAAGACTCGCTCTCGTCCTCGTCAACTAGGTAAAGCTTGCCCCCCTCCGAGCCTATGGACCAGCGCAATACCCCGTACGGCATGCCCGCTGGCCGCGGGGGTCTCCCTGGTGGAATGCCTCAGCAGCATCAGCAGCGCGCACAGCCAGGAATGCAGCAGCACTACAGCATGCAGGACATGATGTTCGATCCGCTACCCATGAACAACGGCATGTTCCACCAGCCCCAGGGCGTCGGTGGCCACATGATGCACCAGCAGCATCCAGGAGCTCGCGGTGGAGGCATGCAGGTCCTTGGCGGCCTGATGCCGCAGCAGGGGATTATAGCGCCCGAAGACGATCTGGACGACCTCATGACCGCACTGGGAGACCCCGTGGGCATGAGCGCGCAGCAGCAGAACATGGGGCAGATGTCCAGTCACGTCTACGATCAGTCGCACCTCATGGCACCGCGCTCGCAGGCCCCCAACCTCCAACCCGGACGCTCCCAGGGAATGCCCCTGCCCAACCAGACGCCACTTATGCAGCAGAACGGCATACCCAACTCCATGCACATGAATCAGATGGCTCCTAATGGCGCGCGCATGGGCATCGGCATGCCGCAGGAGAACATGGCTGCGCCATCAACTCTTGGCGGTATCAGCAATCTGAGCACAAGCATTCCAGCACCTGCTGCCCCTCGCCAGGCAGCCGTCGTGCCTAGTGCCATTGTGCCAACTTCAAAGGCGTCTAAGGCTTCAACTAGCTCGCGTGCGCTCGCCACGTCCAGTAACAATGGTGGCAGCAGTGACGAGGACGGCAACTTGGGCGAGGATGACTCACAGAAGAAGAAGGAGCGCCGTCGACAGCAGGTGCGCTACGCCTCACGTCGTCGTCGTAAGAAACAGAAGGACGAGGAGAGTTTCCTGCGCGACCGCATCGCGGAGTTGAAGGAGCAGATCCGCATCATTGGCGGTGACCTGACAGAGCAATGCTCTCAGATGGCAGGAATGAGTGAGCAAGCTCTGACGGAGGCGTACGAGAAGCAGATGGTGACGGTGCAGACGCTACGCAAGGACAACAACAAGCTGAAGGAGCAGTTGTTGCAGCACGAGAACTTCGCTCGCATGATCCAGTATGGTCTGAATGCGTTGCCCAGCGACTGCCGTGACGTGGACCGTAAGAAGATCGCGGGTGTCCCGATGTGGATCAGCGACCAGATGAACCCTCTGAAGGGTCCGACACTGGTGGTGGATCTGAATATGTGTCACGAAGCTGTGCGTCACACGTACAACGAGCTGAAGACGTTTGGACCGTCGGTGACCTCGAAGACGAACGTGTGTCATGCGATGGGCTGGAAGACCGAGTTGTGGGCTGCCAGCACGTGTCTGAACTTCCGAGCGGTTCGTGCGATCAGTGATAAGAACATCCGCGAAGTGGCCAATGCTTCCTGGGACATCATCACGTCTCCCGAGAAGTGCAAACGCATTTATCCGGATGTCAAGCAGTTCCGTATCTTGCAAAAGGTGACGGATGATATCGTGGTGGTGCACCGTATCGCGTCGGTGGCGTCAGATCTTTCTGACCGCGAGTTTATCTCGGTGGCATTTCGATTGCGTGATGGTGACGACTACTATATCGGACTCAAGTCCATCACGGTGCAGACTGAGGCTGCTGAGAACTGCATTCGTGGTGAGGAATGTCAAGGCTGGATGTTCGTTGGTGGCGAGAACGAGACGTCGCAGTGGAAGGCTCACTTCTTGGGCTACTACGATGTCAAGGGCGAGAAGGACGACAAGGTGCTGAACCAGCTTGCTAACGAGGCGATGTTCGGTATGCTCCGATGGGAGAGTGAGGCCATGCACCCGCTTAGCGTATAGGGCAGGCATCAGCCTGCTTTGCAAGACTCTCATTTTTGCCCAACTTCTGACACAGCTTCACCTGCCTAACGCTGCGTCAGACGAAATATCTGTATGCATGTGCTGACCAATACTAAAGAATGCAGACTGGAAGCCGCTTCAGTCGAGCAGATACAAACCCTAGTAACAGGAACCGATTACATTCCGGCAAACAAGTTCTTCTCTCAATATAAATACGTCGAAGTATCGTTCTCCAAAAATGTTAGACTGATACTCAGCTAAGTTTGTCTTCCATTTCATTGGATGTTTAGAAGTCCATGCTTTTTATTGTGATGTAGCCATTTCTATCAGAGGACCACATTACTAATTGAGTCTTTTCCACCAATCAAATCGTCCGTCAAGTCACCATTCCCACCCATTTTCGAACTGTCAGAGCAGCTGGAAGATGTCGACGCTCTCGGCAACGTCGCAGAA